GTCGTTTTTAAACGCAGGCCATTTGCTGCCCGCAGTTCTGCCACGAGTGATGGTGGACCCGCCCAGGCTTGCCAGACTCAGCACACCGTGCAGCTCTGGTCAGCGTGTTGGAATATGGCGCAGCACTGGAGATCGAGTCCCGAGTCAAAAGCTGTCGCTCTACGCTTTTTGCATGCTGTGATGATGGCATCGTACCGTGACGAGCATGCTGTTTTAATAAAACGAAATGGGACCAGTGGGCGTGAATGGCAATGCCTTGCAGTGGCCACAGATTGAGGTAGCACGAGGTACCTTGCAAGCGGGCCGCCGCTGGATTTGGCACCCTGAAGCGTAATCGTGCTATGCCTCGACCGCCCTTGTCGGCACCACCGCCTTCTCAGGCATGTGTGCTGGCCCAACACCGCAACTCGCTCGGCCTCCGTCCAGCTCACTACCCTTCACTTTTGCGTGTGAATACACTGCATCGTTATAGCAACATTGTCTGGTTCTCCCAGCCGTTGATCCTGTGCGTGACAACCAATCGTTTCAGCATCGTACCTTGATATCCGTGCACGCTTGCTCGCTGGATTCCGGGCGCGCTATGACAGTGACAGTCTGACCTGTCTGACGGTCCTCCGAGCAGCGTCCTTTGTTCGTTCCTCCGTCCTCCTCGAGCCTACCAACGCCTCACCCAAACGCCAGAGACGTCTGTGACGGGTCTCTGCCTCGGACCCGACTGCACTGCTTGCTCTTCGCTCAGTGCCTGGGTGCTCTCTCCATGCATTGCCTCTCCTAGCAACATCCGGGTGCGAGCTTCACACCTCGTTCCGCCTCTTTGATTCCATAGACGCCAACAATACCAACATGGCGACCTCGCTGCTCCCCCCGGGCGGCATAGCCCTTGTCGGGGCTCCGGATAGCGACGCCGGACTTAAGGACGACAGACGACCGCCTGTGCAGGCCATGCAGGTGGACATTACCCAGGACATTGTCGACGAGCTCCTGGCCAGTGTCAGGAGCGGAAAATCACCGCAGATAATCTTCGGACGGACTCCAGTATGTGTGCACGCTTGGTGTTGTGTTGCTACCTAGGTGTTCCTGGGTGGTTCGACCCGGAATGGGGGCTGGCACGAGCTGGGCTAACCACAACAACAGCAACTCAAGTATGGCGACAAGACGCACATGCTGCAGAGCAGCAGCGAGCTCCACCGATACGAATTGTACAAGTCCAGCGGGACTGGCAGCCCGGACAGCCTCGAGTTCGCGGGCATGATCAACCACAGTCTGATGGTGCACAAGGCGGAGGACGTGACGGCAGGCGTAGACTCGGCGCTGGAGCAGCTACGGAGTAACATGGCTGCGATATCAGAGTTCAAGGAAGCCAACAAGTATGCCTCCCCGGTATCCCATGGCTGCCCACGATCTCTGGCATCAAGTCGAGAGACTCGAGCACCCCTGTCGCGGATGATTGCCATGATGAGACCCAGTTGTGTATACCAGGACTGACAAAGATTGCTGCAGGACCATTGTCGGCGATGCTGCTCCCGGGCGCACACCAGCCCATCGCCGCTTCCCGTCGACGGGCTTCAAGGCATCGCACCTCGCTCCTTCCATGCTAGGCTCGCCATCGCTCAGCGCGTCGTCGTCGCCCATGCACAAGCGGGCGCCTACCTCGCAGCCGAGCAACAGCCATGACGTGATCGTCAGCGCGCTCCGAGTGCCCATCATCCACCTCCTTGCACGGGAGCCCGCCACCGAGGCCTCTCTCGCCGCCACCTGCAGGACGTCGCTGGCCAACATACGAGATGTCCTGCCCAAGATAGCCAAGCGCTCCACTGCCGACGCCGACAAGTGGCAGCTGACGGACAAGTCGTTCCGTGAAGTGAATCCGTTCAAGTTTCCCTACCAGAGCGCTGAGGACCGGCAGCAAGCCATTGATGGCGCCATCAAGTCGTTCGACCGCCAGCGGCTGGCAAAGGACGACAAGCTCTGGCAGATCCTGCTGCCCCGTGACCAGAGAGGCCAAGGCATATGCTTGTCGCGTTCGACGGTGAAGGCGCCGGAAGCTAAGCCCAAAGCCAGCACCCCAATGCACAAGATATCTGATCTCACCAAGAAGAAGACGGTCACGAAGAAGGCTGCGGAGAAGCCTGCAGTTGAGAAGAAGCCCAAGGCCGCCAAGGAAGTAGAGATCAAGCCGAAGTCGTCCATGAAGGAGAAGTACTTGGCCCGTGAGAAGGCAGCTGCGGCCGCGAAAGAAGTGAGCGTGAAAGAGGTGAAGGAGGAGCAGCCCACAATAGCAACAGCCCCAGCCTCTTCGACGCCTTCAAGCTCAACTCCTCGCCCCGTCGCACCTTCCAAATCCAATACACCTGCCGCCGACGCCTCCAAGATACGCAACAAGAAAGCCCCCGCTTCAGAAGGCACCACCAACTCACGCGCAAAACCCAAGATGAGTGGCCGCGATTCCCAGCGAGACCGCCCCGCCAACCGGCCCTTCAAGCCCACTATGCCCATCAACACCAAGCCGAAGAATCCCTCGCCGCTGTCCGCCTCGCCGCCTGTCAATGCCAGCGACTTCGAGGACTCGCACCCAGTCCACAAGGCACTCGCGGCAGCTCCATCGCCCGCCAAGTCCGGTGGTAACTCTGACCGCTCGCTCAAGCGCAAGGCGAACGACATCGACAGCGACATTCACAACCACAACCTGGCTGTGAAGAAGCCCAGTGGCGACCGCGCAACCCCCACTCACACCCCCTCCCACACCAACGGCAAGGCCAACGGCTCTACGCCTTCCAGTACTAGCTCCTTGAAGCGCAAGTCGGACGACTCTTCCTCCTCCAACACTCCCACCACTGCGCCCAAGGTCCGCAAGGTCGCTAACATCGACACCGGCCTCGCCTCGCGCTACCACCACAACAACCCACGCGCATCCCCAGGCGCCTCCTCCACATCGACCACCTCACCCTCCATGCCCAACTTGAGCTTCCGACAGACAGTCGAACTCTCGCAGAGGTTCCAGAAGTACTATAAGAAGTACGAGGAGCTGTACTGGCAGCTGACGGAGGCGGAGAAGCCCCCGACTGAGGCGCAGAGGAACGACCTCCTGAAGATGCACAAGAAGCTCGAGGAAATGAAGAGAGAGATCAAGGCGGGTGCCGTGCACCGTTGAGCACCACACACTATCCGTCACTCACGACGCTGCGCTTAGTGCGCATACGACTTACTACATTACAACCTGCATATATACCCACGGCCTACCGATCTCATAAGGATGGCAGCGAATTGCATACCCACAAAAAGGTGTTTGGGATCTTTCCTACTGGCGGCGTTTGGATGGCAAGACCGGTCACGGATGCATTTGGGATACGGTGTTTTTGTATACTTTTTACTTTCCTTATTCATCAATACGTGTCGCCCACGATCGCTCTCTACATCCACGACTGCGATGATATCTTAATGCTGTCGGTTACAGAAAAGGATCATCTACGAACAATTGCATGGCGCAGTAGCTCTGTTTCAATCACTTCAAATCAATACCATCCCAGATGATGCAACCTTTCTCAACATGAATAAACCTCCGTGTGAACTCTGTCCAGACATGCCGATCACTTGGTGGTGCCTATACACTGCCTGAAGTCCGCTCACGCCACATGCTGGGTAAATCTATGGATGCCGCAGCCTGCATCAATACCACATCCAGCACGTCAAGACCCCGAAGACCAATATTAGGGACAATAGATCAAAAGCACTCATCTATAGCTGCGATGGCATCACAGTCTAGATCGTCGCGCCGATCGCCGCTCCTAGGCCCGCTCCCCGGCAAAGACGCCCAACGCCCAGATCCCAGCCGCGGCCCACGATGGTGCAACAGCCGATCGCGCAGCTCTCGAGATCTGCGGCAGCTACCCCCCTGCCAAACGTCATCCATTCAGCCCTACGCGCTAAACCTCCGCTCTAACGCTCTCTTGACGCCATCTTGAGCACACCACCACCCGTCAAGCCGTCAACCATTGTGTGCACGTTAATAACCGCGCGTGCTCCTGCCACTTAACCACTCATGCGCTTACTACGCAATCTCCTCTCCAACTTTACACGTTCAGCACGAACAGCTCCGAAACGCGAATACGCTCACGTTCACGACGTGCAGATTAAGTGGGAAAGAGCGCCAATTCAGAATCACGGGGAAAAGCAACGGGAAGAAGCTGGCACTATGTCTCTAAACGGTACGTAAGATCACATGGTTCAATGGATAAGAGGAGACAAGACATCGGGATCCCGCATTGGTCGTCTCAAGTCTCAACGTTCGGGATCCAGCCAAACGGTTACGCGACATCCCGATCCTGTGTTCATTTGCATGAAACAGTTTCGTCGCGGACTCGGGATCTTCAGGCACGCGTTTCGCAGTCTCAACGTCGTTCACGCACTGCGACGGGTGTTTGCGATTTGATAATGAGCAGGTGGCATGTCCATGCCAGACATATACAAGGACCCCCATCACCAACCCACCACGGCTAACACACCACAGTCTTCAAGCAACCCCTCGCGCTGCACTCGACACAGCCCCTAACCGGCTTCACGCGCTCAGGCTACTGCGAAGTGCCCGCCTCGGACGCCGGCAACCACGCCATCGCGGGTGTAGTATCGAAAGAGTTCCTCGACTTCTCTGCCGCGCGGGGCAACGACTTGCGCCAAGTGGGGCTGACGGATGGCTGCAAGTGGTGTCTTTGTGTGAGCAGGTGGAAGGAGGCGTTTGATGCGAGGACGGGCATGGATGATAAGAAGGTGCCGAAGGTTGTGCTCAAGGCGACGAACGAGAAGGCGTTGAAGGGTGTGGCGATGGATGATTTGAAGGCTTTTGCTGTGGATAAGGAGTAGAAGTATAAGGGTGGGGTAGATGGGGTGGTATTGCTATTGGTACTACTAAATGGTAGATATCGTACATGGATGGAGATACAGAGATCTCTTGGACCATGACACAGCGGATATACTTGTGCTGTCCCAATAGCTCGCAAATCTCATCAGAGAAAAACAGCAGCCATCTCTTCCTGTACCTCATCACCTTTCTCGATGTCCTCGATCCCCTCATCAAGCGCCATCTCCACATTCTCCAAGTCCCTCTCGGTCATCTCCATCAGCACCTCGGGATGCGCACGCAGCTCCGCAATCCAAGCCTCAAACACCTTCTGAGCCCTCTCTTCAACACTGATATCAGCATGCGAGTCGACGGTAATGGCAGCGATGGCAGCAGTATCCTCGGCGGTAGCGTTGGCGATTCCAGTCGCATGCATCACAATCTTCTCCGGCTCAACCAAATCCCTCCTCCCCATAACCCTCACACCGGCATAGTAGATCTTCGCACCGATACGGCATAAATGTTTGTGCTTTTCCTTCCTGCATTGATCGTACATGTCCTCCTTGAAGTTCTTGTCGATCTTCTTGCGGGCTTGCTGTTGTGTGGTTTGATTAGATCGTGGCTCTTGTAGATTGGCATAGAAGGAAGAAAGAGAGCAAGAACCAGCGCGGGGTTGTAGGAAAGAAGGAAGGGGTAACTCACATGACCTAGCCTCCCCTGGCGCTTGAAGTTTCGATACGCAAAGTCATGTCGAATACACGCTGGTTTGACTACATGACGTTAGGTCTAGAATCCTCTCTCGATTCTACCGGCTAACTCACAGTCCCACTTAAACGGCCTGTCATCAACACCTGTACAGGCATCTGTCACCCAGTCCAGACCCGTAACACCGTATAAGGCCTCATGATCATGCCACATGTCCATGAAATGCCAGAGAGGCTCGACAAAGACCATGTAGTTCACGGCCTTGGCCTCCAGGGTGTGCGCCGTCATGTCTTTCTCGAGTTCTGCGGCGGCTTTCTTCTTGTCTTTGTGGGCGGAGGCATCGGGGATGAGGATGGCGCTTATGCTGAGGAGGTTGAGAAGGGGGGTGTTGAACTTCATGATTGGCTGGTGGCTGGTGGGAATATGGATGGGAAGATGGAGGATCAAGTTGCTGGGAGGGAGATGTGGAATATAAATGGGGGCATTCTATCACCATACTTGGAACGGTAAAATAGGGGACAGGATTTCATGATGTATTCAGTCTGGCATGGAGGCTATTGGAAATATACAGTCCAGGGATGAAAGGGAGTCTTGATGACGATGGACGAGGGGTGAACATGACAGGTAGACGTGGATGACTTGTCTTGTCTGGAAACCGACCCTTGAAAGACTACACGTATTCGCTGTGCTGGATCACGACGGAGAAGAGGAGAGGACGAGGAAAGGAGCGTGATGATGCGTTTTGTCTGAAATTGGACCCTTCAGAATTACACGTATCCCCAGTCTAGAGTTTGTAGAACCAAAGAACACACCCTTGGCGCCGACCAGAAACGCCCATCGCTGATGCCTATAATAATGATAAAAACGCGACCGAATAGCACTGCGCCTTCTTATAGATGGCTGTGGGAGAACCACTTGATGCATGTCCTCGTGACCTGTATTACCCCTCTGTTTCCCATCACACGTCATGCACTCAACCAACCAACAGACCCTTCACCCCGCTGCCAAACCAAACCAAACTCCTCGCAGCGAGTAGACCCGGGCCAGCATACGAGGGCGGACCCATTCCTTTTAGCCCGTCCACGGCCCTGATTTCCAAATCCCCAGCCACAGGAACGTTAGTCCTGCCCTTTTGTAGAATAGCAAACCGGAGCAGCACCTCAAGACACGTTATGCAGATACTCAGGACAATGAGTACGATGATGATCCACGTAATCTTGGTCATCTTCTTGTCGCTGATGGAGTCGGAGAGGATCTCGCCCAGATCTAAGAAGACCTGGCATCGCTCGTTGAGAACTTGGATGCGGGGTTTGATCTCGAGGTATTCGCGGACGGCGGTGTAGAGTGGGTGGAGGGTAGGTTCAGAATCCCAAAAGAAGCTTGGGGTGTCGAGCATATTGGATGCTGGAAGAGTGGTTAGTAATTGGTAGGTCGGGAGAAGGTGGCTCAATACGTACACAGGTTCACCTCGACACGGCTGGTGAAGAGTTGTCCAATCATCTTGACTACATCCGTTCTCCTCATGCCCAACTTTCCGGTAAGTGCTAAGCGCTTCGGTACGTATTGCGCGGCAAGCATCGTCCGGCTCATGCTCTCCTCAAACAGACTAAGCTTGGTGCTCTGCGCGATGGCGTGGCTCATGGCTAGCTTGATCATGTGGTCTCCGCTCTTGAGGGTAATCATGTCGTTGTAGACGCGGGGACGCTGGATCTCGGGGTTGTATTCGAAATGGAACTCTTCCGTCTCAAAGTCGGACTCGGCCAAGGGTCGGCTTGCGATGTTGATTCCGGTAGCGACGGCGGAGAAGGTGAGGTCGGCCAAGATGTCCTTCTCCTGCTTCTCTGTGAAGTTCCAGAAAACGACGACACCGTACGAGAAGACGAACATCTCGCCAAAGGTCAGCGCATTGGGGGCGATTCTGGAGTTCTCGGTCGAGTCTCGGCGGTCGTGCATGCCGTCCCAGGGCTGATCGAGCTCGTGGTCGTCGCGCACGTAGTATGTCTCTTCGTCGCCAAAGTAGCCTTCGTGGTGATCGCGCTGCTCGTTGCGCTCGATTTCTTCGTCGAGCACTGTCTTTCCGCCTGGGCTCTTGAGCGCCGGGCTACTGCGGACCCGGTAGCCATCGTTCCCGGGCAGCAGCGGGAGGTGGTATACGGTGTAGAGGCAGTCGTCGTACAGCTTGGTGCGCGCATTATGGGTGTCCTTGACGAACTGAGCGGTGCTCTTCATCTTATAGGCCTGGGCTGTGCAGTAGGCCGTGACGCGCGAGAGCTTGTCCGTCCGCTTCGCTTTGGGCAGGCGCTCGGCATAGCTCTTGTCGTTTGGGCCGCCCTTGGGGGTCCGTCGCGCGAGGTCTTCGTCGGTGGGCGGGCCCTCGTACTCGTCGTCGTCAAAGTCGCCCTTCTCGTCCTCCTCCTGGCCTTCCGTCTCGGGCAGCAGGACGAGCTTTTCGCTGAGCTTGCTGGAGCGCGTGGGCATGTGCTGGGGGATGAGGCGGCCAGTGAGTCTGGGATCGAGCGGATGGCGGCCGCTGGGCGTGCGCGTGTGCATGATGGGGCGGTTGGCGTTGCCCGGTGGGCCGCGTCGCTGCTGCTGCGAGGGAATGTCCGAGGCGTACTGCAGGATGTTGTCCACCGAGATCAAGCGCGCGCCTGTCGCCTGTCGCTGTCCTGCGCCGGGTCGTTGGGGTGCTCGGGGTGCAGCGTCGCGGCTGTCGGTCATGAGCACCGTCGGCCCTCTCTTGCTCTTAGCTGTTGGCCCGCTCATTTTGCTGGTTGCTGCTATCCACTCCGCTAGTGCCTGTAGCTGCAAGAAGGTTTGGCACGCCGGACGTCGCGATTGCGAGCGATTGGAAGATCAGAGCGTTGGGCTATAGAGTGCTGGGAGTGGTTCCGATAGAGCTATACAGGGCGCGACTGGCGATGCGCGCATTCGCCGAGAATGGACGTAGAAGTGCAACTCGACGTCGTGAAAGCCGGCCGCGGTTCACGTCATTGCGCCTTGGCGTGCATGCACCAACTCCACACCTAACGGCTCGCCAAACGTCAATCAGGGGTGCATACATCTCGCGCTTGACTACTTTCACATGGCATTTGAGCGCTGCTAACGATGAATATCAATTGTTGGGGTTATATCTCAGTTGAACTCGCTATTGATCGTCTCACAGAGAACGCCTGAACACCATGCTCTAGAAAGAGAACAGCCGTCCATTACCAGAACATGGCCGATCCAAGCATCGGTTCAAAAACAAAGGAAAGCCTGCTGGAGGTCGGATGGCGACGAAGCGAGGGGGTATCTTCTCCATGTCCCCGCTGATCTTGATTCCCTCCGCGCTTCGCATTCTGACAACGCCAAGAATAAACAAACATTACATGTGGTATCAAAACAAGCCACGCAGATGCACTGGCTTACAGGCGCTTGCCTGGAACGAAGATGAAGAGGCAGCAGACAGCTACCGTGACAGCCAGGAACATGACCATGACAGTAATGGAGCGCCTGTTCAGCGTCTTCTTGACGAATGGCTCCCTGATGCGGTTGAAATCGAAGAAGGTGTACTCGCTGAATCCAGCCAGGGCGAGGATTGGGTCAAGCATGTACTGGTGCGTGAAGATGAGGTAGATGGCGATAGTGAATGGGAGGATGATCTGTGCAGAACATTAGTTGATTCTCCACCCTATAACCGAAAGGTGACATACCCAGCAGCGCGTGCTTCTTGACTTGTCAAGGAATATAAGGATGAACGACGTCCACATGGCCGCAAAGAAGCTGATCAGTCCTACTATGAGACGGAGCATCATGCTCTGGGGCACAAGGTTGCCGAGGCCCTTGTTCTGCAAGAAACCTGGGTATGCGTCGCGCTCCATGGCTTGGAAGACGTAGTCTTTGGCACTGTCAAAGAGCTCGGGATCCGCACGCTGCTCTGGCCCTTCTATGGCCTCTTGAACCTCGGTCAGGATACTCTGGGGAATTATTATTTCCCGCTCGGACCCAGGGAGCAAGTACGTGTAGAGAATCTTCTCTGCCGACGCGCGCAGGTCCTCTCTGCTAGGCTGAGTGTTATCAGTGGACGAGTTCTGGCCGGGTGAGCTGGAATCACCCGGAGTGTCTAGTAAGTTCAGGCTTGGACGCGGGAACTCTCGGCTCTGATTGCTACCCTGACTGTTTTGTGGCGAGTGGTTGCGGCTGCCGCGGTCGGAACGAAGAAAGGCGGACAAGCGCTGGTCAGACAGATTGTCACCTTTCTCGTTAGAAGGGCCTTCTCCAGCGTTGTTCAACATGTAGGATGAACGCCTACTGTTTTTCTCGAGATCAGGAGTTTCTTCTATCATGCTCCTGTGTAACCGTCGGACGTAAAGCCTGCATAGCTGCAGATGTTGCGATACATCAAGCCTGTTGGTGGTCAGCGTGGTCCCAGAGCCTGAACACGGGATTGTCTTACCAGAAGTCCAAGTAGTCGACAGAGCGCTGCTGGTCGCGCATGTAGATGTAGAAGGAGAAGAGATCCAGCGGTGGCCTGGTTGTCCTACTAAGGACTTCGAAGAGCGTTGGGAATCGATTGCGGTGGGCTGGAGGCACCGGAGAGCCGGCATCCTGGGGGTGCGACATGACTGCGGTGAGTCGGGAGATGTGGTGTTAACGAGAGGCGCGCGACGATCGTCGCTGGTGGGTGAAGAATGGCAGGTATCGATAGACGATAGACGATAGACGATAGACGCAGGGTCTGGCGTAGGCTGGCGGCGGGCGGTGTGTTTGCGTTGCTAGTGCTGTGGTTGCTGAGCGAACGGCGGCGAGCCTGGTGGTCCGGCCGGTCGCGACGCCAGGGTCGACGTGTTGATAGACGGTGGGAAATGGGCGACGGTGGTCAGGTCGCGGGGAATTGAGCTTTGCGGCGTCGCGTCAGCGCCTCGGAGCGTCGTGAAGCTGGCGTGGCAGCGGGAAATTAGGAGTGAAGTCGGCACCTCTAGCTTGGCGCGACGGTTGGCGGAGCAGGGAGGCAGCGGCAGTGGCTTGCGATGGGCTTGGTCGCGCACTGCACGACGGCACTGGTGTCGATAAGAAGCAACGGGTCACATGAAATTGCCTTCACTGTGCTGCGTCCGACTCGCGTCCTGTGGATGAGCTGGTGGATCAGTTGTGCGCGGTGACGATGATGATGCAGCCCGGATGCAGCCCGTGTGCCTGAAACGCGAGGCTGTGAGGGTCGAGAAGGGCCGCGAATAGCTACTGCCTTTCCACGTGACAGTCCCTGCCACCCCAGCACCCAGCACCACCTGGACAGGTAACAAGGCAGCTGTCACCCATGGTAGGTGGAACGTTGAGAACACAGCGCAGAAGGCGGCCGCCGTATCTCTAGAAGTCACTTGCCCAGCTACTGTGCTTTCTTTTCGCCGATCATCGTCCCGTGGCCGCGCCAGGGACCCGCGTCATGGAGCTACTGCTTTCTTCTTTCAGGGCGACCACGGCATAAGATGAGCAGGAAGTCGCTCCTGAGAGCTTTCACGCGTTCCTTGTGGGCAATATGCAGGAAATGCACGATGGACGCCTTGTGGCCTCCATGTCTCTCGTATGGATCGACGGCTTCCAGGCAGCAGTCAGCTGGTTCACAGCCCGGCGCAGCCTTTATAGTCCGCATTGATTCAAAAATTCATTTCAGGACATGCTTCCTTTGCGCACATTCCGAGTTTCAGTGCGTTATCTATCAACAATGGCAGCTGCCAGAACCTTACCCACGGACTTGAAGGAGGACCTGCTTCGCACCCGCGAAGGTCGGACAACCGTCCAGCCCAGCCCTCCGCCCTCCACATACACACTGCCCGATGGTTTCCTCGAAGGCCCAGCGCCCAATTTGACCAGGTCCAAAATTGATTTCAAAAAGGCTGGCCTGTTAGAAGACGAAAAGTCATGGGCTGTCATACTTGATGGTGTCCTCTCCGAAGACGAGTGCAACACTTTAGTTCAAGCAGCCGAGGCGACCACAAACGGCAAGTGGGAACGGGCCCTGGTTAACGTTGGTGGAGGCATGCAGGCTATGTATGAGGACACCAGAAAGTGTGGGCGCATTATCTGGGACAACAAAGAGATCATGGCCAAGCTATGGGCGAGGATAGAGGCGTCGGTGCCTGAAATCCATCGATTGCACAACTGGGTCGACGTCACAGGCAACGGCCCAGCGAGACGGGGCGAGACGTGGAAGGTGACCAGACTCAATGAACGTGGACGCTATCTCAAGTACATCGGCGGGGAGTATTTCAAACGTATGTATTGCATTGCATCTTGCGACTATAGCTGCTGACTAGATCAGCGCATTGCGATGGGACCTACGAAACGCCCGACGGCACCGAGCGCTCTTATTTCACCCTGCATCTCTACCTCAATGACGCGGTATCGAAGAGCGGGGAGAAACAGCTCGAGGGTGGCGCCACTACATTCTTCAACAGCAGTATGAAGAGCCGTATAGACGTCATGCCAAAGGCTGGACGCGTCCTGCTCTTCCAGCATCGCTTCCTTATTCACTCGGGCGATGACGTTGTGAAGGGAACTAAGTATACGTTGCGGACAGACATCATGTATGCGCTGGAGAAGGACGTGGCATCGGAGACGCAGGAATAAGCGCTCCAGGCAGAAGGCGAGAGGGAAATCGCGCAGTGCTCGCCAGGCTTCGCGTCGTTAGATTCGTGTCGTTGGGTTCGCATGAACTTTTATTAGCAGTATCCTCGAACGAGAGGAGACAGCGCAAAGCGCACTTACATAGGAAAAAAAAGGTGAACGGCCTGCCTCGCCAGAGTAATCAGAATCGAATGATACCGTGCCCTCTTTCGCCCAAAAGGCTACTCAAGCTCAAGTACGCTGCGTATTGTACTACAGTGTCACCTCTCACCCGAAGGATCAAAGCACACAATCTTCGCACCGACTCCCATAGGGACACCAGTTCCACACTCCCTCCCGCCGAAGCAAGGAAGTCGCGCTTTCTGGCGCCCTGAGTTTTCTGATGCCGGATGCAGACGTGAGTCACGCCAGGCTCTTACGAGCAGTACAGCCCACAAGTGAGCGTGATAAAAAGTGAAGATTACTCCGAATTTCTCATTTGCAGGGTAGGACGTGCTCTCGAAAGAGTGTCTGTAGGTGTGCAAAGAAACGCAGCGTTGGCGAGGCAGGCCGTTGGAGGAGCAAGGAAATAGTTTTTGGCGGGGTTTTGTAGCTGGCGCGCCGGCGCGCTAGTGCTCGGCTAAAATGCGCCCGTGACGCGGATCCACATGGAGACTGCCCGCGTCTTTCCTCCGTGCCTACCGACCATGGTTTCCAGTCATCACCTTTCTTTGGTCAGTCGTTGGATCTTGGGATATGCCGGGGAATACTCCAGGGTCTGGATCATCAGATGTAGGCGGCTTGATGTGGCGCTCACACCAGCCACTTCACACTTCACCATTGGTCGCCTCTCGCTTTCTTAACTGTACTATACGCAGCGATCACGACCAAGGTTCTTGGACTTGCGATACTTCTCTCTTTCGTAGAGTATCTCCTCACGTGTTGGTCGTATGAAATGCTGGATATGTGGTTGGCTCGTCGCCTCTGGGTCGCCGCAGTAATTACGAGTGAATGTTCTCTCAATTTCACCTCATCTTTCACTCTCCAACAACTTGAGTTATTCCACAATGCGCCCTGTCCTTCAGTCATTTTTGCTCTACATTGGGGTAGACCGACACATCTGCACGACTATTTAAAATCGCGTGACCCTTACAACAGCTTCCCAAACTCACCCCACAACCTAAACAACAACCATGTTCGAAAAGCTATTCGGTGTTACGAAGAAGACCTTCCTGGAGAAGAATGTCGTTCGCGCTGGCGAGAACGACAAATTCTACGAAGACAAGTGCACGTTCTGTAAGTACTTCCCCCTACCTTGATGTGTAACTATGTACTAATATTCTTAGGTTGGGGTCCATACGACGAAGATCATCGCGCTGTGCGCGTGCAGCCTTGCGATCACGTATTCGGAGACGTCTGCCTCGAAGACATGATCGACGCCCCGAATGGAGACAAATGTCCCATCTGCCGAGCAGTATGGTTTCAGCCTCCTACTCAAGTTTTCCTCTGGCGTATCCTTCTGGACTACTTTATACGTCTACAAGTTTGGGCAATGTTCGCCTTCGGTCGACTCCAGGCGTTCTGGTACACACTCCAACCGTTCTGGTATAGACTTCCGGCCTGGATCAGGTTTCCAGTCAAGGCCGTCAACTCCTGGTACTACATGTCGAACGTGTGCTACCAGATTGACTTCGTCTTACGGCGGCTTACCAATATATATCCGAGAAACCCGATGTTGCAACCCCAGCTGGATCAGGGGAAGCGGATTTACGCGATGGTTCAAGCCCTCTATGTTCATCTCATGATTTCATCAGGACGTTCCAGAGCCTTGGCGGTGAAGACCAGCGTTTTCTACCTAGCAGACGAGCTTTTTAAGACGCCATGGCAGTGGCAGAAGCTTCCAGTGTTGTTCCTCTGGTCCATCGCACTTAGCGCACCCGTGGGTTGCATGGACCTTCGACTATTGAGTCGGCGCGACCGTGTCATCTTCTCAACCACCGTATTCTCGGTTATAATGGTTCGCTTATGCTTTGCTCAGATCGTAACAGCTTTGCTATACGGAGGGACCGTCTACAATCCGTCGATTTTTTAAGCCCACCTCCGATCATAAGTGGGTTGATTCTCAGCGGCAGAGGTACGAGAATGTTTAAGCGTCGTTTATAGGCATCCACCCCCAATAAGCGTACTTCTACGCGTTGAGGTAAATTAGTATTCTGTATCATAATCATGTTCCTTGGTTCTACCACTCCGTTGTCCAATATGCGCAAAGAGCTCTCTTCTCATTTGTCCAGCGTGGAAAACTGATTTGATGGTACCAACCATTTCCAACATCATCCTCATCCGTGGTTGCCCACCGCTCACCTATACTTAACACGCCCTTGCATTTCGTGCTGTACTAAACAAACTCTACAGACCTACCACCCAACTAAACACCAGCCATGTTCGAAAATTTCCTCGGCCTTTACGTCTCCAGAGACGAATTCTTGAATTGGCGGACCTTCCCGGCGGTACCGACCGACACATTCAACGACAACACATGCTGCCTCTGTTGGGAACCCTATGACAACACTGCTCACGCCGGGATGCTCTTTCTTCCCTGCAACCACGTTATGGGCCGAGACTGCCTTGCCGAGCTCGTTAAATCTCCAGGTGGGCATTTATGTCCTATATGTCGGTGCCAGCTGTTCGATCCGCCATTTGCTGTTAAAGAAAAAGTCGGCCAGCTATTTTACGCTTGTGGCGTCTTTTTCGCCGTTCTGATGGTTATGTTCATGGCGGTTGCGGCAACTTTCCTGTTGTGCGATGCTGTGATTTGGATAGAGCTTATGATGGATGAGCGGGGTTTGACAGGCACGTTGGAGACTCTGTGATAAACATGTTGTATGCTTGGAACACCATGTTCCTGCGGTTTTAGGCGCTGGTCGACTTCGCTACAGAAACGGAAACATGATCAACACACGGCTCTGGGAACGACAAACGCGCGAAAACCGCAACCTGCGTACGAGGAGTTGAACCTCAGCGAACCCATCCACGATGCGCATGGGGGCGAACAATACTGTTTCCTACCACACCCTGGACCCATTCTGCGACGCAGCCATCACCTGCGATCTCACGCCATCCTTATTCTCCCAATTCCCCCAATTCGTCCCCAGCCTACCGCCACCATCCCCAACCGACCTTACCGTACGACGATGCGCTGCATCATGACTCCATACCGCCGGCAAGCTGTTCATCGGGAAGTCTGGCGCAATAGTCGTCGCATTCGGGTCAGGCGGCCCGCTCGCTTGCCATTCAACCTTGATGGAGTTGTCTTTTGAAAGCTTGACACCGTTATGCCACAGTTCGAAGGATACATCAGCAGGTCCGAGGTTGACTTTGACGACGTAGTTGATGCGGTGGTATTTCGGGCCGGAGTTCCACCAGTGTCGGTTTTTGAGTTTGAAGAGTGATAGCGGGAGGGAAGAGAAATCCGATTCGATTTTGCAGATGGAGCGGCACGCTGAGGATGTTAGTATTGTGTTTCGTCATGTCGGGGATGTACACCCACCGTTATTCTTTACTACTGGAAGTTCAGACTTGTCGACTTCGGTGCATATCACTTCTGTGGGATAGATCCTTGGTGGATTGGGGTTCTTGGATGAGGCTGGCGGGCATTTTCGTTGAAAGCTCTTTACTATAGGGAAGTCGCTCGATACTGGCTCACCCTGAGCTGGTCAGCGTTTTTCCTCATTCCAAATTGTCATGATGTTCTTACCTGCTTAATAAGCCAGTCGATGCAATCCATGACGTATTCCTTCTTGTCCAAAGGATCAACTTCCGTCCTCAGCCCAAAATGCGCAAGGTTGAACGGGTCGTACAGCATCTTGCACATCGTTCCATATGATGCACGGCTACATCGCCACCCGAGCACCGATTGACCGGTCTTGAGCTTCTGAATACGGTCGGCCACATTGCCTTTGCAGACCACGAGTTGCGGGTCGGGTGCTATGCGGATCTGCATATGCTGTGCGTTGGAGTGTGGTGTGCTGCCGAATGCGTATCGGCTTCGTAGACAGTTTTGAACGTATGCGGAGTTGCCGAGACCCCCGGACAGGACGAGATGAGACTGAACTGGGTGAGACGGCGACATTATAGCATGACATGTAAGTTGACGTACCACTTGTTCGGATGGAAACTTTTGCTGCACACGAGCGAGCTGTTTGTCCATCATTTCGAAAAGCTTAGATACCTGAGTGTCGAAAAAGCCTTTCAAATCGTCGCTACAGAGGTGTCAGTTAAGAATACCATGAGTAGGTCTCATGTGTAAGTCTAACCGCTGGAAGTACATGTCGCCGGCGCTAATAGCGCATTCTCGGTTGTTGTAAGCCTTGTCCAGCTTGGGTACCCGCACCGCAAAGGTCTCGGTATCCATCAAAGATTCTTCCGAGCCGTAATCGCATTTTGCACTGAGCAGTCAGTCAGGTTGTCATCGCTCTCATCAATGATGCAAACAAACTTCTGGTATTCCTTCGAGATTCGCATTTCCCATGCCGCCTGGTGTACATCCTGAAGTCCCATTGGCTGAAGTCGTTCGGCATGCTCCAATCGCTGTAGCACCTCTTTTTCGTATAGACTGTCGAGTTGTGCGGCTCCGATAGTGGCACCTCCGTGAGGTCAGTATAGCACAGGTGTAATGCTGCGAGAACCTTACCGAATACAACATCAATCTGTTCGAGAGTAAGAGAGCCACCTTGAGTGTTCTTCACTCGGAAAACCGATAGGTCCTATAACACTGAGCGAACTAGCCATGAGGCGGCACTACGATGCTTTCTCACCGTTGTACCTCCACCCACGTCGCATACGAAGAGTAACTCATTCTCCTGTTGGTAATGTTAGAGTCTGCGCAAAAGTATCATGATCTGCTAGGCGACTCACCTTGAAGATACCAGGCATACTCCGCGCTGTATGTACCGCAGCCGCCTCAGCTTCCGTCAGCCCTATTGATGCTGTGTGGCTGGTGCACGACCCAAAACCAGCTGCGAATATCGTCTTCCTGAATCGTTCCACAGTGGGTATAGGTTTCCATGTTGTAGGTACCGAGAAGATGAACTCGATGTTCGCGTCTTCCCATCGGCTTGCGAGTTCGCCTCGTAGTCGCGCTTCGATCGTACGGTGGAGGTAGCTGAAATAATCCGTGTACCTGGAAAACCATCAGCTCACTGCGAGACCGACTTCGAGTACCGCGCTTACCATTTCTCTACTTCTTGGATATATGGTACTTTCGATGGCTCACTAGACTTGGATCTCATTTGTTCCAGTAGGTCTTCGTCGAGCATGATCTTGAACCATTCTCTACTCTCGTGACCTGCGCCACTACCCTCCTGTGCGGTTTCGGCAAGAAACCCCCATGATGACGGCGTTTCGGAATTTTGTGGGTAAACAAGTAATGTCGGCACCTACAATCATTCAGTTCGGATATCACAGTACGCGACCAGCGATCTAACCTTGTTTTCGTTTGCTTGTGTCCGGCCAGGCCATCGTTGGATATGGCGCACGCTATCGGATCCGGTCGCTACGTTGCAATATGCAACACCAGTACCTGCGGATTCGGTGAGCATTGATATACTACCAAACTGCGAGTCGCTACTTACATGTCATTCCGAAGTCGATGGAAACGACTAAGTCCGGTCGGGATTGGGAGTATTCCATGATGAAAGTGTGTCTAGTGTGTAACAGCGGTTCGAGCAGTACAGCTTCGCGTGGGCTCGATATTGCGTAGTGATGCTCATCAGGTATAAACGTCCGGTGCAAGATATGGCAAGGCTGAGATATGTCGGCATTCCCTGTTCAGCCATTGGAAAAATGTGCTTGGCTCAGCCTCACGCCTCAATTCAGCCGACGGGTCGAGACCAGTCTCAAAGAGTACAACGTGGGGCTCGCTGCGATGCCAATTTATTTGCGGCGGTGTCGCGCGAAGTTCATTTGGTGAGACAGACCGATGTGCAGCACAGAAACGCCACGCAGTCCTGTGCTGATGACTGTTCGATAAACTTACATTCGGACCCCACACCATCATAAAGCTTGACAGTCCGTTGCGGACGCCGACCCCGTCAATATTTACCATTTCCGGCGAATAAACAATGTGATCATAGCTTCGTAGTCTGCACTACTGTTGTACAGCTGAAGCATGCATATCTCTGATCGGGCTATGCTAGTGAGTTGCAGTACGCGTACCTTATAGGGCAGAAGTCCAGCGACGTTCAAAGGCTCTCCACCGTCTTGACACCTCTGTCAGTTCCAAATCGATCGTAAGTGAGTACGTCCAACATGAAGTTCGAGCCGAGACAGGACCCGCCAACCCAGCCAACGGCACCTGGAACAAACCAGGGGCAAACGCCTGCTGCGACCAAGACAGGTGAACCAGGATCGTCCTCAGGATCAACATCATCGTCATCGTCTACAACGGTGACTGAGGTACCCACCGCTACTACGACGCCCGTCACAGTTCCGCAGGGAGTGGATACAAAGACTGTGACTTCGGAGTGCAGCTCACTGACATGGGATCCGGTATTGAGTACGAACGTCTGTCCAACACCAACCACTGGACAGCCCGTTGGAGAAACGACAAGTCCTGCGTCCACGACAAGTTCCATTGCACCCAAATCGACTACGGGCAAAACTGGGGGTATCCAGACTCCGACAGCGTCTGCCGGCTCATCACCGGCTTCGAAAGAAATCTCAGGCGGTGCAGTGGCCGGAGTGGCGATTGGGATGTTGCTCGCCGGGTTTTTGATCGCTGGAGCCGTATTCCTGTTCCTGTTACGCCGTCAGAAGAGAAGACGATACAATCCAACGCTAGCTCCACCACCGCCGCATGCACCCACTAGCAACGCTGGCGGGCGACTGGAGAAAGGCACGGCACTTGTTACGAGTGCCTATGCTACCGATATCGACGATATGCTACCTCAACCTGCATCAGATGATACTATCACCGACGCAGCCTTGAAGATACGGGACAACATCAAAAACCACGTTCGAGAGTTTTACCATGTTTCTCCCGTCCCGACAGGCAGTATCAACCAGGCAAATATGAAAGAGCTGGCGGTTGCAACTGGCACAAGCTCTTCCGTACTTGCAAGCATGCTCTCGAATATCTCGACCCGAGCCGAAACGCTTCGCCTCATTGTAGCCTGGAATGTGCTCTCGAGATGCACCGGAGAACGCGTTGAGAGCTTGCTTCCGGGAGAGCTTGCGCCGCTCGCCTCAGCTGTTCCTGGAAGAGATGGTAAAAACGCCGGTATGTTGAGCTCAGCCTCTGGAAGTCTGTAACGGGAAGCTAACTCCACAACTCAGCGCAATCAGCCATGTACAGCAAATGGAAGGCCATGACTGGTGCTCTCCTGCATGGTCGAATTGGTCAGGATACGCAAGAGCGATTCCAAAGATTCGCCAGTGCGGCTGCAGACCTGGATGCCATCGTGGCGCCCTTCGTGCAGAGTGGCTTGGAAGCTCAGCGCCGCAAGAATTTGAACATGATTCTTGCGCGATCGGCAAACTTCGCATTTCTACTCTTTTCGCAGCCCGGAGTCTTCCACTTCGGATTCTCTAGCGAACATGGCGGGTTAGCAGTGTTCCCAGCATTACTACAGATTATCGGAGACCAGGGGCAGGTGCTGGTGCCGTCACGCGTGCTGCTGGAAAAGGAGATTGCGGCATGAGAATGAGGTGTGGTGGGGCGAAAATGGCGTTTCATCGATAGTTTATGCAGTATGCAATGCACTGGTTGATCAGCTGAGATGCGTCTAGGACATGACAAAGAAGTGCGGGCGGAGACGCACAGGAGGAAGGGACGAGGCTGAAGAGCGAAGTTGATGCTTGCTTTTGCACTAAACCCTATGTGTCTTAGCGCCAGTGCCACCGGCGCGGAGAAGGAGCGTCCCTTTCTGCTCCGTCCAATCTGCGACTCGCCATCGCGACACACGCAGCAGCCACTCGGTCGTGAGATATACTTAGGTCGATGAGTTCGATTATCTGGTATAGGCCCGGCATCATGGCCCGCGGAGTAATGACCCTATGTTTAGGCGCAGACGCATGAGCTCAGCCCGTGGAAAGAAGCATTGAGCTGCAGATCGGTTCTCGAAGCACTGCGACACAGCATGAGGGGTATTCCAGTACCCGCAGGTTCAGTCTTGTTGGTGCTTTCGCTGCTTACAGAGTGTTGGGGGTCTATGAGCCGCCCACCGGCAGCTGACATGCTCGTGAACTTATTCTTCACGACCTGCATCTACGTTTCATCATGAGCATCAGTCTTCGCTGAGGAGCTTCTGCGTTACTATTCGAACTAGTCAGAATCTCATAATATGAGCGGACTGATAGGTATGAAAGCTGTACGATCATAGCGCAGCGCAGGGCTTACTATGTAGCAGGTATACCCACGAGATCTGCCAGTGTCAGCAAGGCGTTTCAGTTCGCTGATCTTGCGATACGTAGCGCAGATGTAGGGAGCGAGAGCGAAGTCTTCTTGCGAACGATACGAATCGTTCGCAACGACCTGTGCGAGGTCGAGCGTTTGGTGGCCGTTGGCTCGGTAGGAACAAGACTCGCACAGACACCCGAAAGACTCCCTTGGATAAGGAGTTGTATCGAGAATACTAACTCCGCCTTGGAGGAGATCGGCACATGGGTGGACTGCGGCAGTGTCGAGCAGCATCGCAATATCTTGGACCAATCTCAGAAACTTCGACACATTCTCAAAGACCGAGAACGACTAGCGGACCGCAAGAGCGAACTCATGGTATGCCATCAACAGTTGTCGAATGTACTCAGCTTCCTTAACCGCTTGGAGGACCTTCCCAGTACCAGGGCACTGCCAACGTACCAAGATACCACCTACTTTGATGACATCGTGTCGCGGCACAGAAGATCAACCGGCCAGGCTCAACTGGGTGATGGCTCACCGAAGGTCTTCTTGGGGGACAACAATCGAACGACATCTTATCCTGCCAACAACACTTCGTGGCCAGCGAATCAGAAGTCGTTCTTTACCGAAGCACCATACACACAAGACGCGTCGACCATTGATGCGGTGAAGTCCACCCTACGATCGTTATGTGGACAAATGCAAGTAATGCCAGACCACCGAGACTACAAGCCATATAACTCGCGTTATCAATCGCCTCCCAGCCTACCAAGCAGTCCGCCCCCTACATATACATCGACTGAACAGCGCAGTCCCTGCTCGGAAACATCGCTCGAATATACCAAGCCTCATCTCAGTATTGATCAACCGAGCCTTAGAAGCTCGCGGTCATCGCTGATTGAGGCGCATGACGATGCGCATACCATACCACCAGCCCGAAATGACACATGGGTCTATACGTATCCAGAGACGCATCAAGCGCCAGTAGAACTGGCAGGCGACATCTTCATGAGTGGCACAAACTCAGACGGGCCAGTGAATCCGTACGCGTTCCATCCTACCGCGCCAACTCTAGCCCCAAGACCCCATGTCTTCCAAGACAAGAAAGTTGAGACATTATCGGAGTTATTGGGGGATGTGAGTCTGTCAGTAGAGCTGCCAGGTAGCGAGCCAGCTCATGCTTCGAGACATGGTGTACGGCCCAGTTCGCAAACGCCTAATTATGAGTTGCCTGCGAGTCAAACATACAACACAACATTTGCTTCAGAATTACCGACTATCCCGATACGCAGACCCGTCATCTCGCATACGGTCAGCGAGCCGACCGCTACCGCCAACGAAACATCAGTCGCGCCGCCGAGATTTGAACTTGATTCTGTCTCCTCTCGAAAACATCCTTTTCTGGCCACACGAAATCAGGCTGAGAGTGGTAGAGCTTGGTCAGTGTCTTCTGTCTCTTCAAGCCCACGGCCACCGATGAGCAGCACCGTATCTTTGAACAATGCAACATACGCAGCTCCACTCGCGCCGCAAGCAAGCCATGGTCATGAACGGCCCATATCATCGCATGCGCCACAGCCAACAAACAATACATCATCAGCGAGGATGAGACGTCAGAAACATATGTTGGATCTACTTGATAGCATTGATAGATGACATGACTAGAGTGAACATTGGTCCCATGCTACCAGACAGCGAACAATAAACCTGATTCGAAATGACTCCATCGTTAAGCAGCGTGCACACTCTCCAACATCTCAATCATCCCGTTTCTTAAACACCCCAACCTCATACTCGTCTCCATCTTGCATCAGTTTAACCTCAAGCTTCTCCAACGGACCTTCATTCATCGACTCGGTTACAAGACCAGGGAGAGCGTTGTACGTCTTTCGGGCCAAGATCTGCACATCCTGCGCCTCGTTCCTCAGCCCGCGGGCTCCAGACTTGTCCCTGTATCCTCGCTTAGCCAAGTGACCACAGAGCTTGCCGTCGTCTTGGTAGCTGATGTGGCAGTGGCCCATGTGTCGTAGGACTTCTGGGCGCAAATCAATGTTCTTGCGAACCTTCGCCGCGTCGTCGAGGAGGAATTTGTGCGTTATGACGGCTGCCTCACCATGCGAGAATGGGAAGAACGGGACGGTTCTGTTGATGCGGGATGCGAATGCGTCCTGTTCACGTTAGCCATTTGTTGTCGTGGTGATCAAGGCTGGAAGGGTCATACTCCCCAGCGGCCCTCGAAGATGTCTTTGAGATTGCGCACGAGGGGTGCCAGATTCGCACCTTGCTTCTCCTCGTCTGTTAGTTGCTTGAGCTTTCGTTCGTAGTACGACTTGATCTCCTCTTGACCCAAGTTGCTCGCCAGTACCCAGATAGTCTTGCGACAATCGACCTTGCGATTGTTCCTTCGGTCTACATATTTACCTGCCTTTTGTGTTAATTGACACGTATGCATTGGAGCGGAAGGGAAATTTTCTGACCTTCGGTAGTGTCTAGAATCGCGTCACAGACTTCTTGCGACGTCTTATCGAACTCATCGAGGAAGACCACCGTACATTGGCCAGTGTTATCTGACAGGAGATTATTGAGCCTGGAGCCCTGAGCTGAACGTTGATAGGCTTCTTTCGAGCCGAGGAGCTCAATGTCGGAGTGCATTTGTGAACATGAGATCGTTTCGGATTTGACACGTAGCAGATCTCCCAACCTGTCAGCGAGCTCAGTCTTCCCATGTCCTGGAGGGCCAGCAAACACCATAACGAAAGGCTTTGGACCATCTTGGTTTGCGGCTATCTGGTTGAATATCCGCTGCTGCATGTCGTGAAGCACAGGAAGTTGGCCGACGATATGGTAGGGGAGCTCTAGAAGACCATGCACCTGTAAGAGTTTGGCGGCTTGTAGTTCTCTGTCTTCGAATGGCTGGATCAAGCTGGCTCGGTGAAGATAGTATCGCTGAGTGAGGTTGAGGCCGCGTGCCAGAATGGCTCGGGTAGACGGGTCGCACCACGTAAGAGGCGAAGCCTTTTCGTTTTCCTGAGATGACCAGTTCTCCGAAGGTTTCCGCAGGTAGTCTTGCCACATGTCCTGAGGAATCGTCCTGGGATCAGCGCCACCCGCAAGTAAGAGCTTTACGATCGCGGTCGTATCATGTAGGTGGATATGGCCATAGATGACCGCAAAAGCAAGCGTCGGAATGAAGTGCGTCGCGTCAGTGCAACCCTCTGGATTGAAACCGTAATCTAGAAGGACGTTGACCAGCTCAGGCGAGTTCCTTCCGATGGCGTAGTAGAGGACGGGCGTAGCCTGATCGACTATTTCCTGGAATTCATCTTTGTCGTTGCGATAGTGCTCCAGATACTTCCTCACCGAATCAGCGCTGCAGCCGTGTGAGATTGCCGTACACAGTTGGATCGCATTGAACAGTGCAGATCCTCTGGCTTCCAGGAGCTCGGCGTCCACTGTCATACCAGGGGAGTTTCTTGAAGCATCCGGTAGATGGTATTTGTCCTTCATTTCCATGATATACACACACATCTTGCCGTGGTTGAATGTCGCCATTCGTGCTGATGATCGCTGAGTTGCTTGAGGAGATGGTTATCTTGCATAGGTTACAGCGTTGGGACTTATGTAGCAGACAGATCCAACCAGTCAAAGCGAGCCAAAAGTCAACAAACATTCAGAAGGTTCGGGAAAGGAGATGATGATGGTAGTAATGACGCGCACCGCGAAGCTCTGCCTAGACCCTACAGATACGAAATGCAAGTAAACCGACGGGTCGAGTTGGGTGTGCGTTGTGATTGGGTATTTCGGTAAGCGGCATATGTTCGCCGGCTGGAAGCAATCATTCCTCGGCGCCCTCCATTTCGACATCGCCCTCTTCACCCTCTTCTTCCTCTCCGCCTTCGGCCCACCATAGAGTCGGACCAAGACCAGGTTGAGCCATGGAGCCCTAGAGCGCACGTTAGACGCTATCTCAAAAGCTGATAGCACACAACTTACTATTATCTTCCAGGCCGTCGGTCTCTCTTCAATGATCTCGCCCTTCTCATCCTTTTCTATAATGGTCGGCCTCTGGTCGTACCACTCCTCGTGCTCTACCCTAAATAGAACTGGCTCGCCCTTATCGAAGAAAAGTTCTGTGCCTTCAGAATTCCATATCCACACCATCTCAGCTTTAGAGAAGGACGAGTTCTCCGGTAGATTTTGGTAGGGAACGAAGACTTCCGATGTGAATTCCAGGTCAAGGATGATGCCTTCTTCGTTGGATGACTTGATCCGTCCGTAGATGATTTCGCCGCGGAAAGG